TTGGCTAGAGAGCAGCTCTGCAGACAGGGACTTGGGGATGCTGGAGAAAACTCAGCAGGAAGCAGCAGKGAGGCCTGGCAGCCCAGAGGGCAGATCCCAAGAGGATTGCACACAGCATGAACACCCCAGAGTGAATGGTCCTGCTGTGCTCAACCTCACCTGGTGTGCTATGTGTACAACTGGACCTCAACATTGTGGAGAAGAATGTGAAGGTCCTCAAACATGTCCAGAGGAGGCAACCAAGCTGGTGAAGGGCTGGAAGGCACCTCCTGCTTGTCCCAAGACAAGACCCTCAGGGCACGGGGTAGGAAAGCAGACCAACAGGCACTGTGACCACTCAAACTGCAGCTGAACCAGAGAAACAACTCGTGACAGCTGCAGTCACCCCTATACAAAAGAAGAAATCCAAGACCAAATCAGTTCACTTAGTGATGGATGAAGAGGAAGCAGAACCTACACAATAAGACAAAGATGCAGGACCAGAGATAATCACTCGATTTCTATCCCTGTGTATGCTATAAGATAGGTGAAAATATTTCAGCTGCCATTTGGGAGAGCAGAGTCAACCTGGTTTAGAGCAGTGAGTGCCCCAGGGCACAGGAAGCATCTATTCCTGGAATGGAAAACAGTCTGCAGATGCAGGTGAGGGCTTGTAGCTGCAGGGGAAACATTTGAACATTTCCCAGGGAAAATTTAGAAGCTTCAAGGACCCTTTGCAAGAAAAATTCAGGCTGAGGGCAGTGCCCAGGACCTGGTCCAGGTCTTGGAGTCCAGKGAGGTACTGAGACGCCCTGCTGTCCAGAGTCTCCTTGCATGAGGAAATCACTTTTGGGGTGTCTTGGTTTGAAAGACCAAAGGTGTTTGCCAATGAAGGTGGGGACCTCTCTTGGAGTGGCAAAGATTGCCACCCTTCCCTCCGAATTAGAACTTTGAAATCACAGGGCTTTCAGGCAAAGATATGGGAAAAACGAAATAACAGTTTTTTAGTAGTATGTATAACAAAGTAAACAARCAATAAACAACGATAGCAACATCCAACAAAACCACAAACCCAGTGACAGCCTCCTCTGTGGTGCAGTTACGGTGACAGCCGTCAKGGGCSCTGTTGGCTCCCGGCCGGGCAGGGCGGGTGCGATGATTYCCCCRCAWSCCCCGATGATCCGCCCTGTAACYGAGGTTTGAGGTTTTGGGAAAGGCCTGTTCATGTGTGTTCCCTAGGGAAAYTGGTGTGGCTGTTGGACGGCTGGACTGGGGCGCTCTGGCCAGTGGCTGCAATTATCAATGGAATTTAGGTGTGTACAAAGTCATCACYTCGTCCCGTGGTATTTCYGTGGGGTTACACTGGYAGAGAGTACTGGGTTTAYGTGAGAAGGTTCTGGTAGCAGTGGGGCTGCAGGGGTAGCCTCTATGGGAAGACACCAGAAGCTGCCTCCATATTAAGCACAACTGCCTCCAGCTGGCTCCAAGATGGGCCTGCCACTGGTCAAGGGAAAGACCGTGAGCGGCAGTACTGTATTTAAGAAGTCAAAAAAACTGCTGCATAACCACAGCTGAGAGAGAGAAGTGAGAATATCTGAAACAACTGTGGAGACACTGAAGTCAGAGGAAGGAGTGGGGAGGAGGTGCTCTAGGCACCCGAGCAGAGATGGGGCCCATACAGCCTGTGGTGAAGACTGTGGTGAAACAGCTGTCCTGCAGTAGCCCATGAAGGTCCACACCCRCAGAGATCCACCTGCAGCCTTTGGAGGTAGGCTCTGTCGCAGGTGGGTGTGGCTGAGAGAGGCTCTGACCCTATGGAGACCCTTCACTGGAGCAGGCTCCTAGCAATACTTGTGACCCTGAGGGGAATCCACACTGGAGCAGCCTGTTTCTGAAGGACTGATCCCATAGAAAGGACCCATGCTGGAGCAGTTTGTGGAAGACTATCTCCTAGGAGTGGGGCTCACTGGAGCAGGGTGGAAGGAGGTGGAGGAGGAAGGAGCAATGGACAATACATAATAAGCTGATGACAATCCTCGTTCCACATCCTTTTGTGTGTTGTGTTTTTCAGTGTCCCAGAGCCTCAGTGTGGCTCTTTCATGGTTCTCAGGCATAGTGGAAGGCTGACAATCCCCCATCTCTCCAGGTTTTACAGAGACAGGAGGCAAGCATGGGGGCAGGGGCCTGGAGAAGAGGAGAGCCTGATCCAAAACCATTCTGGACAGAGGCTGAGATCAGCCCTGGAGYGGGAGCAGCTCGATGTGCTCAAAATGCCTTCCTGTGACAGGGATATCAGGAATGTAACTTGTGCCCTCCCTTCCCCTTCTCTCTCCAGTGAAACAGTTCATCCCTGKTTTGTGGCCTGCTCCATCCCACATCTCACTCAGCAGCCCCACAGTCATCTGACCTCAGGTTGTAACTGCCCAGTCAGGAGCAGACACTGGCTTCTSCTGACATGTCAGGTGGAGATMAACCAGAATCCAGGAAAAGGAAGRGTCTTCCTGGCTGCAATGTGGAGTTTCTATAGTGCACTGAGGGGTTCCCTGGGAAAAGCTCCTGAGGGGGAAGAAGGATGAGAGCCACAGGAACCACGTGCCACAGAGGAAGTTTGTAGCTGTTTAATGCAGTCATTATACAGAAAAAAA